AGAAAAAAATATCTGTAATATTATCGAGTACTGAGGGCTTAAAAATTGTCAATATCTCAGAACGGAGATTTAAAAAAAGGCTGATATAATTCCAAGATTTAATATAAAATCTAAAATGAGGGTTTACTGAATCATCTCGCTGGATCCAGAGCCACTCAAAAGAATAATAAAAGAGAAAAAAATATTATTCAAGATGGACTAGACATAATATAAGTGAATATAAGAGCGAGAGTGTTACTAGATGCTTCTCTTGCTACGAGTTTGACCATGTGACCATGTAAACAAAAATTGCAAAAATGATGCAACTTATAATAGATGTAGCCAGAGAAGAATACTTAAAATGAGTATCAAAGTGAAATATTAATATGCAGAAATTGTACTATGGTGAATGAAAAATATGGTCTTGGCTTGAACCCGAATCATGAAAAAATAAGCAAAGAATATACAGGCTTTATACAACAATTAGAAATTATATAAAAGAAATGGATTATTGGCAATAAGTCTGAAAATCTTATAACAAATCAGATTAACTTATATCATGCTATTAAAGACACGGACCAACTAAATGTGGAGATGATGAACAAGAACATACAAATAGTTTGTATACAAGAACCTTCTGTGCCAGAGGGGAAAATCCATAGATTTGGAATTTGTATCCTCAAATTGCCAATATATGGCGGTAGCGCTTTTTTGTAAAAAGAAATTGATGTCATAATGGTGTATATTGTAGTAGTTTGTCTTTGGCGTTCGTGAATAAACGTTGTGTAGAATAACACTCTCTCTTTATTGATTTGAATTCAATTCAGTCTGATTTATTAAAGACTTACATTTTTTTTAATGTGTAAGAGCATATTGTAATAAGAATGACGAAATTAGAACTGGAATTTTTGTTTTTGATAGCAGACTCTCTAATATACAGATCTATATATCAAAAGACATTGTTGCAATTCTAATAAATGGACAAAGGCTTTGTGTTTCAATTTCTTATTTTTCACCATCAGAAACTTCTGAAGATCATTTACAAATCTTAAAAACTTTGACATTGAGAACTGATAACTATTCAATAGTTATCATTGGAGATATGAACTGTAAATATCCTTTATGGAACAAGAAAAAAATGAACAGTAGAGGAGAAATATGAGTGGATTTTTTTCCTTGATGAATAGACTTAGATTAATAATAATAAGTATGATATTCCGACATTTAGCTCCCTTTTGGGAAGTTCTTGGATTGATGTAACAGCGTGGAGGGTTATAGGAAGTTTGGAAATTTTAAATTGGAAAGTCCTTAACAATATTTCTCATAGATATCATCTTTTAAATCTTTCCGAGTCATCATAGATATCATCTTTGAAATTAATAACATCGAAATTCTGAATTATACAAAGATAAAATACACTTGAAAAATGTAAATAGTGGCAGTATAAAGAAAGTTAAAGACTTGCAATTTTCAAAAGACATTGATGAAACAGTATAAATTATAAATATAATCATTTGGGAAATTTCTGATGAAACTACAGCATATAAAAAAATTTCCAAGAGTAAAAAATGTGTGAGAAATTACTCACCATGGTGGAGCAGAGACTTAAGAGAAAGCTAGTTCGGGCATTTAGAAGAAAGTTCGAAAGTTCTCCAGAATGTTCAGCTCTTTGTAGGGAATTGAAAATTCTTACAAAATTGCCCTAAACATATATATTCTTATGAAGTTAAAGTCATACTTATCTGCAATCACTGTACGTAAATCCTGAACAATGTTTCTCCTTTCTCATAAAACTGAAGGCAACTTAACTAAAACAAATGCATTTAGTCATTAAAACAGAAAAATATACTGCTAGAAAAAATATATTTGGTAATTTTCTTAACTGTACTTGCTAACCAGTTCATGACAAAAGAATGCTTCTTGATTTGAAATCAAACAGCCTAATTTTCTTTTATTAAGTATACTTTTTAAAGAAATTACGAAACAAAGATTACGCTTTATTCATGTTATCTAGATAATTTATTTAACAATTATTTTTTTAGAAGTTCAATTCTGTGGATTCCTTTTTTAAATAACAGTCCACAAATTTTCTTCAGAAAAATCATTTGCTTACATTAATTTTTTCAAACATCATACAATTATTCATGGAGGAAAACTTTAAATTTTCTCTGCCTCTTTCGAGTATATTAAGTTTGCTATTATTACTACTGAGAAATGAATCTACTGTTACATTTTAACAATCTAATCCTCTGTAAAATCTGAAACTAATAGTCCTCTACTTTTTCATTCAAAAGTTATCTTCTACTCAATTAACTAAATATTTGAAATCCAGAAATTATAAATCACATTATACTAATTAACTGAATTCTTTCATAATCTAAATATTATTAATTAATTAACCATTATAATCAGCAATTAATCATTAATGTAATATCAGCAATCATCTAAACAATTTGCTTTAAATGGAGGAATTTTCATTTTAAAAATTTGTTTTGATGCAGTAATATTTGAAGAAGTCAAATATGATATTTACTACAAAATAAAATATTTTCACTGTTACTTGTGAAATTTTAAGTTAACAAATAACTACAAAAAATATTGAATGAAGTTTATTATATATGTTTTCTAATCGCACATCATAATCACAGTATAAATCCTGCTTAGTTTTGGTAAGCAAAATGTTCTTGAAAAGCAGCAAATTTTATTTGCATCAAAATGTGAAGTTTAAGCTTTTTGCTATCTATTTTGCAAAGCATCTTAAAAAAATAAGTAAATAAAATCTGAGATCTTTCAGGTTTTATATTATGACCGAAAAGGTTTTTTATTTTATTTTATTATTTTTTTTAACGTTTTGTGTGTTACCTTTATTTATTAAATAGCATCTTCACACTTAAACCATAAAACTCAATGCAACAACAATATTACAAAATATTTAAAAGAGCATATCTTTAGAATTTCCAATACACAGTCTCGCCACGCTGGAGATGAAAATCTTTTTTTTTTTTCTTTCCGTATACAGTGTTACCATTGCTCGCTATGAAATCATTGAATTTCTTAATCAAAAACTCATAAATGCTTTACAAAATATGAAATAGATAATAAAACAAATTACAAATTCAGTATTCCAGATGCCCATTGTTCACACCTTATGTAAATTTTGTTCTCTGCAAGAGCGCGCCTGCGAGCGCTGAACTATATCTATTGTACGAACTTGTTCTTCTCACTGCCGATAAACGCAATAACGAACGTTTGTGTCTACTATCCAACCACTAAACATGGTCCGTCGTAAGCCAGCGCAATACTTTGGATGATGTGTCAAGACATTTTTAGCATTCTGATATAGAAAGACATTTCGTGCAAAGAAAACGGATTATTTTGGTCTGGATTGTGAGAATAGCAACCAGAATATGGAGTCTATTTTAAAGCAAAAAGGAATGATTAAGGGTAAGTTGACTCATTTAATTTCACAAGTAAATAGTTTACAAATTCAAGAAAATTCTTTTTCTGCCATTAAAGTGTACAAAAATGATGTTGGTGCATTGAGTGTTGAAGTGAACTGTTTAAAAGATAACAGTCTTGGTACTTGTTCTGAGGCAGAGTTTAATAAGTATGAAATAGAAATGCATGAACTGTTTTCTAAATTGGATGTATTAAAAATTACTTTAAAGGAAACTTAGTAATTCAGGCAAATATATAATGAATGCTAAGGCAAATGGCTTGAAACTTCCTCGAGTAGAACTGCCAGTGTTTACTTCTAATTACATTGATTGGATATCATTTAGGGGTTTATTTCTTGCCAGTGTTGGAAATAATAATACATTAAGTGACAGTCAAAAATTGCAATATCTTAAGCTTCCTGTGAAAGTTGAAGCTGCTGTTTTACTACAAACAGTTCAAATTTCAAACGCGAATTATGAAAAGGCATGGAAAACGCTTACTGAACATTATGAAAATTAAATAGAAATAACAAGCGCAGCGTTAAATAAATTAACTTCGCAGCCTGTTCTAAAACATGAATCAGCTTTAGGTTTGCGGAGATTAATTGATACAACACAGCAGTGTATTGATACATTAAAAATCCTTAAACAGCTAGTAGAGTATTGGGATACTATGATGATTTTTCTGTTAAAAGGAAAAGTTGATCATGAAACACTAAAAGAATGGACGATAGAGTATACAAACAAAACATTGTGTGCTTTTGCTGAATTCAAGCGCTTTATTTTAAACAGAGCAAATGCTATTGCCTCTTTGGCGAAGTGCCAGAGGGAGAAGGATGGTTTGCCTTCTGAAACTAAAACTCACAGTTCAGGTGGTAGATACGCTTTTTCGTCCCAACTTGTGGCTAATGTGTGTGTTCATTGTAAGAGTAATTCTCATTCTTAGTTATTTAAATGTAACAACTTTTTAGAACTCCCTATCAAAGAAAAATGGGATTATATTAAAAGGAATAAATTATTTGCTAATTGTTTGAAAGTAAGTAAAATGCATCCCATTTTTAAATGTCGTGCAGGCATGTGTAAATCTTGTTTGAAGCAACATAATACAGAGTTATGTCATATACCCACGGAACTTCTGCTATTAGTAGCAATAACGCAACGGTGCCCGTTACGCAAGCAGTTTTATTGCCTACTGTGGTTGTTTATGTAAAGATATTAATGGCGATTTACAAAAATGCAGGATGCTAATTGATTCAGGTGGCCATGGCTCATTTATTTGGGAGCACTGTGTAAATTTATTGAAGCCAAAGCGTATTAATGCAAATTTAAGTGTCAATGGCCTGAGCTCGCAAAAAATTGGAAAGGTTTCAGGTTCAGTTCAATTACAAGTAACATCTCCATTTTATAAAAACACAAGCATTTCAGTTAATGCATTAATTATACCCAAGATCACATGCAACCTTCCTCAATATCAAGTTGATAGGTCTGTTTTGACAGCTTTTAAACACTTGCGGTTGGCAGATACATATTGCTTCCAGCCTGGCCTAATAGATATTTTTAGCCGCAGATGTATTTGGCGTGATAATGCTTTGTGGACGTTTAACTGTTCCGGGTCATTCGTTAACAGCTTTGGAATCAATATTCGGCTGGGTCAATATCGGCAAGACTAAATGTGTACCACAAACAATTATATCTAATCATGCTAGTTGTACCAATGCTCAGTTCCAGCTTGAAAATTTTTGGAAATTAGAAGAAATTTCAGAAATAAAGCCTTACACAGAGGAAGAAATTGAGTGTGAAAATCATTTCAAGCAGAATTTCTCTCGTGACTCAACGGGTAGATTTGTTGTTAAGTTTCCATTTCATAGATCTAGCAATGAACTTCAGTCATCTAGGGATGCTGCTGTACATTGTTTACAAAGCACTGAACGGCAATTTATTAAGAATAAATCTCTTTCCAGTCAATATCACAAATTTATGGAGGACTATCAACAACTTGGTCATATGGAATTGATTCCAGAAAATGAAATTGATGTTCCAGCTAATTCTAGTTTTTACCTTCCGTACCATTCAGTTCCGGATAAAAATGGTGATAAATTTCGAGTGGTATTTGATGGTTCTGCAAAATCTTCTAGCGGTAATTCTCTTAATGAGAAATTGATGGTTGGTCCGCAGTTACAGACTGATCTGACAGCATTAATCATTCGTTTCAGAATTCACAGAACTGCGGACATAGAGAAAGTGTACAGACAAATTATACTATAAGATGCAGACTTTCAAAGCATAGTCTGGCACGATTCACCTTATAAACCAATTCAGGATTTTCGATTAACTAGAATTGCTTACGGTACTGCATCAGCACCGTACCTTGCGGTAAAATGTTTACAGCAGTTAGCAATAGAAAAAGCAATTAATTTTCCTTCGGCTTCCAAGACATGCCGTAGGGATTGATGATTTGATGTCCAGAGCCAGTTCAGTTACCGAAGCAATTGAATCAAATGCAATTGAATTACAAATTACAAATGCAATTGAATCAAATGTTGTCACGTGCAGTATTTGTTTTAAGAAAATAGGCTTCTAACAGCAAAGAAGTCTTGAATTCAATTAATCCAGATTTGTGCTTATCAAATTTTTCTTTAAACGCAGACAATGATGATAGTGTAAAAACGTTAGGTGTCCTGAGGTATCCAGTTTCAGATATGTTTTTATTCAAATTCTATTCATCATATCCTGAAGTTTTAACCAAACGAACACTACTTTCAATAATCGCAAAGACCTTTGACCCTTGGATGGTTGGCACCGATCACGGTTCGGTATAAATTGATCATGCAAAGATTGTGGAAACATCATTTGCAGTGGGATGAAAAGGTTCCTCCAGATATTGAATGTGAGTGGAAACAACTTACAGAAGATATGTTATTTATTAAAAGTATCAAAATTTCACGATTCTTGTTGGTTGAATCAGATAACCAGTTTCAACTGCACGGGTTTTGTGACGCCTCAGAGAAGGCCTACGCCGCTGCAATTTATTATCGTTCTGTGTTAGATACTGGACAAATCAATGTTCAGTTGGTGATAGCCAAGACAAGAGTTGCACCACTAAAAACCATATCACTTCCCCGATTGGAACTTTGTGGAGCATTACTGTTGACTAAATTAATGGATTTCACCTGTAGGGCTTTAAATACTCCTATATCGCAAGTTTATTTTCATACTGATTCCACTATTGTATTAGCCTGGATAAGATCTCATGCAAGCCGATGGAAGACCTTCGTCGCCAACAGAGTAGCAAAAATCCAGACTTTATCCTTCTCCTGTCCAGTGGCATCATGTGAGTGGAAATGCTAATCTTGCAACGCGTGGTGTGTCATCATCTGCACTGGTTACTTCATTGTGGCTACGTGGTCCAGATTTATTGTATGATTTATTTCCCTTTTCAGCCAGCATTATCTGCACCACTACTGAATGATTCTGTGCCAGAGCAAAGATGTGCTTTACAGTCAACAACTGCTGCCAGTCACTTGACAGACGCTCATGATTTATTTTATAAATATTCTTCTCTCACCAAACTTAAACGTGTTATAGCATTATGTCTGAGGTTTGTAAATAACTGTAGAAATTCAGAAGATCAGGTAAATGGATTTTTAAAAACTAGTGAATTAACTAAAGCTATGCATGTGTTAATTAAATTAATGCAATATGTTGAATTTAAGAATGAAATTAACACTTTAAGCAGAAATCAATCATTATCTTGTACAAGCAAAATTTTATCTTTAAATCCATTTTTAGATAATTCAGGTATTCTCAGGGTGGGCGGTCGCTTGCGACATGCAAACCTTGCATATGGCTTTAGGCATCCAATTTTGCTTCCAAAGAGGCACATTTTAACTCATCTCATTGTTAGACATTACCATGAAATACTTTTGCATGCAGGTCCACAACTTATGCAATCTTGCATTCAAGAACAATATTGGATCATAAATGGTAGAGCTGTTATCAGAGATTTAGTTAGGAAATGTATAAAGTGTTGCAAAATTAGAGCATCTGTCACTAATCAATTGATGAGCGATTTGCCGTCTAGTCGCGTTTCGCCTGCTCCTGCGTTTTTGCGCTGTGGAGTGGATTACGCAGGTCCTTTTCAAATTAAAGCAAATAAGGGTCGAGGCTCTAGGTCATTCAAGGCATATACAGCTCTATTTGTTTTTTTTTACGACAAGAGCTATTCACCTAGAATTGGTGACTGATCTTTCAGCAGATGCTTTTATTGCAGCTCTTAAGAGGTTCATTTCCCGCAGAGGCAAAAGCAGTGATATATATAGCGATTGTGGTTCCAATTTTGTTGGAGCAAAACGCAAACTCATGGAATTTGAAAGGCTTGCTAGGTCTGCAACTTATAACCAAAATGTTAGCAGATATTTGGTTGATAATGGCATTAAATGGCATCTAAACGTTCCAGGTGCGCCACATATGGGTGGACTCTGGGAAGCTGGCATAAAATCAACAAAATACCATTTAAAACGAGAGTAGTTGGTGAGGCGAGATTGACATATGAAGAATTTGAAACATTTCTCACACAAATAGAAGCTTGTCTTAATTCGCGACCTTTAACAAGTTTGTCTAATGATCCAAATGACTTATCAGCATTAACGCCTGGTCATTTTCTTATTGGTAGATCATTAACAAGCATTCCTGAACCAAATTACATTGAAGTTTCCCATCTCACTAGATGGCAACATATTCAAAAAATGGTTCAACAATTTTGGAAGCGTTGGCACAAAGAATATCTGTGTCGATTACAACAAAGACCAAAATGGCTTTTGCCAACTAAAAATCTTCAAGTTAATGATCTGTGTCTCATAAAGGAGGATAACTTACCTCCAACTAAATGGAAAATGGGTAGAATTACTCAGTTACATCCTGGTCTTGATAATATTGTTCGGGTTGTGACTATTAAGATTTCAGATGGCATGGTCAAAAGATATATTACAAAATTGTGTCCATTACCAATTTGAGTTTTAATTCATGCATTATAAATTAAGTACTATATCATGATTTTAATTTTGTATTGTGTTTTAAATTTGCTGAATTTTTAAACACTAAATGTTGAAAATAGTATTTCAATGTGGGCGGCCTGTTCGCACCTTATGTAAATTTTGATTTTGTTTCTCTGCAAGAGGGCGCCTGCGAGCGCCGAACTACTTGTATATCTATTGTACGAACTTGTTCTTCACACAGCCTAATAAACGCAATAACGAACGTTGTGTCTACTTTTCCAACCTAACATATATTCATAGAAGTAGTATTCAAATGATGTTCTAGTTTGTTTTTATCACAAGCAATCATATGCAATCTCATTTTAATTTTTAAATTAATAGGGCTAATTTCCAGCATTTGTAATATTCACCATTTATAATGAATTAACACAAAATATGAAAACAAATTAATAACTGTTCTGGGCAAATTGGCCCTTTGGGTTAAAAGAAAAACTACTGCAAAATGATCATATGTTAGTCCCTCATAGTTAGAAACACAGAATAAAATTCATATTTATATAATCAAGGAATTCATATACAGTCAAAATTCGTTAATCCGGACTCGTCGAGACTTCGGCGATTCCGTATTATAGATGATCAGTATAAAAGATGGCATGCAGAAATTATAAAATTTAAAATATGAAACCGTAATTTATGAAATAAAGAACAATTATGATCTAAAGGGTATCAAAATTTACAAAAAAAAAAAAGCTTATATATTTGTTTACTTTACTTTATTAAACATTTCTTTCAATGTAAGTTGTTTAAGTTGCTTCGTTTTATGCGATAATACTTTCTCTTTAATTCTATAAACAGACATAATTTCTTGTTCATTTACAAAGTTCCGCTGTTCAGGTCCTATAATTGCTGTGCCGAGAATACCGACTAACTTGTCAATCGAAATTTTTTCGTTTTCAATAACCTCTGTGTCACTTTCTTCACTATCGGAAGCGAATTATAATGACGAGGAATTTGATTTAAATCATATCAAAGACGGAGTACATCGAGATGAAATACTACATTAGTAAGGAATTATAAGCCAAATAAAATAAAAACATCTGCCCTGAAGATAAGGATAGTGCTGACAGATCAACTTCCAATTCATTGCGCGCCGCGGCGTCAGCCCCCCCCCGGCCGCAGAGCAGCGTGAAATTGATAAACAGATTTCGGAATGGTTAGAGAAACAAAGGATATGCCTTTATCCATTTTTTTGCAGCACAATTCCACTTTTTGTTGGATGGACATCAAAACATATTTTCGCTTTGTAGATAGATCCTTTGGGAGCTCCAGCATCGGAAATTCTATTTGACATAATCGAAAGTTCAAGCTTACTTTTACAAAATTCCTCTAACAGTCTGCAAAAAATAATAAGCCGGATACAATTCGAAGATTAAGGAACAACGCAATCTGCAGCCTTAACTGAATAGATAATTAGATAATTTAGCTTATAACCGTCCGTCATACATTAAACGCGCTTGCGTAAACGTATTATGCGCA